ACTTTCTCTCACTTATTTCTAATGACAACCCTTTAGGGTGAACTGTAGTTTCAAGGATTTGCCCAAGATTACACAGCTGATCACTGGAAGAGCAGAGCGAAAAACCTAGGGCCCTTATCCTTCAGCCAAGTACTGCTTAGGGTATATTAAACTGTTCTCTTGGTTCCGGTATCATACTGTGTTTAAACTCTTCAATACTTCTGTTCTTGCCTAGTAAACTGTAGGCTACTTGAGGGCAGGGATTGAGGATTGATTACTTTTTTCCTCCAATTTAATTTTGTACCTGGTACATAGTGCTCCAAATAGTTTGATATATGAATGAATGATTGAATTAATAAAATTAAGCCCAGGCCTAGCTAATCATTATGTCCTCACAGATTTGCAAGAGGATTGATTGGAAGGTTGTACTCATGCTTTTCAGAAGCTGCATGGAGATCCAGTTATTCTTCATCTACTGCCACTTGTTAATTGGACAGGGTGAAACCAGAATGTAATTTCAAATTGCTGGAAGCTAACTGAGAAAGGAAATTACAAGGCAAAAACAAAAACAAACAAAAAAAAGCCATATATATATATATATATATATGTGTGTGTGTGTGTGTGTCAGAGGTGCTAAAGGAAAATTGCAGTATGGGACCTAAAGTCAGGAACCACCCCCACCCCAAATTAGATTAGGAATGGGTTTATTAATTAGCAATTAATCCCTAGCATTCTGACTGGAGGTTTTAATTAAAGGTGGCCATTGATTTAAAGCAAAGAGCCTAATGAATTGGTTTCTTCATCACCATTACTTGCTATTATTTATAAGTCTGTGCTGGGGACTGAACTGAACACGGTGACTGATTGATTAAGGTAATTTTTCTCAACCTTGAGCTTTTGGAAATGGATAAGTCTGTTAAAATAATTTGTATTTCATGGGAGAAGTGATTATACTAATGTGAATAAAACAAAATAATTGTACAAGAAGTCTATTTTAAACAATCAAAATTTTTAAAAATAAGTAAATGGAAAATCATGTTTAAATCTTTTGTTAGCATCACCTGAACTGCTATTACTATACCTCTTCTTCCCTTCATCCTCCTCCTCCTCATCCTTCTCCTTCCATTGTTTCTGCAATAAGAAATTCACTGATACAAAATACACTTTACAATATAGTAATATTAATGATTATCATGTTAATTATTATTGCTATAATTTCTT